AAATCTGAAACCAAGCTTCGTCATGAAAGATCTAAAAAGATTCACAAAGACGATCAGAGAAAAGAGGAGCAACCCACCAGCTGAGGAAGGCTTGATCTGTAGCTGATCAAACTAAAGAAAAAGGAGCCGCCTTTGGCACGAGATCATCTACCCTAACATCACGCAAACAGAAGACCAGATGGCGAGCTCAGCAGAGCTCCAAGGAGCCAACTTTATAGTAGATTCAGTCCAAAGACGAGATTTTTTATTCCTTTCGTTGGGGAAAGAGAAATAGATCTGATAGATGAGGATAGAAGCAGAGATCAAGTGAAACAGGTGGCCAAACCCGATCGACAGAGCTGGACTCTGGAGGAGGAACCCCACGCAGCCGGCAACTCCCTGCGCTCCTAACAGGCGGCGGATATCCCAAACCAGAGCTGGAGACAGTGGCGAGACTGGAAGGAGAAGACGGAAGAGGGAAGAGAAGGGGTGGAATCCGCAACGCTCTTCTCCGTGCGTTGGTTTCGCGTTTGGTGTAGTTGTTATCGAGGATGCGGAGAGAGAAAGAAACCGAGTCGGCGGGCAACGGGAAACGTGGTCCGTCGGATGGAAAGAAGCAACGGGAGAGATTTGAGCTTCCATTTATGAGAGGATCGCAATTCGCCAATGAGATGTGTATCCATATATTGTTCGTTCTCCCTCCGTTAACCAATGCATGATGATGATGATGATGATGATGAGAGAGACGTACAATGTATATAATAATAAATCATAATCCTTGGGACTAACCGACTCCATCTCGTCTCTACATATGTTTAGCTCTCTGCAAAGCATGTCCATAAATAAAGATAATATAACTCATGTATGCCATCAGGCTCAGGTCAACGCTATGTTGACTTTGACCGCTACTGTGGTCTCAAATGAGTGAAATGGTACAAGCAACTCTGTTGTAGTAGTACGTTTATGGTGGAGCTTCAAGAGCTAAAAGGGAGATTCTTGGCTTCTCTGAGAAAAGGATGCTGCTGCCATTGGGAGAGATTCTAAACAAGGAATTGCCAATCTCTTAGAATTTTTCAGAGTATCATTTGGAATTTTTTTTTTAATTATCTGAAACGTATTGATATTTACAAAATTTTACATGTATTTAGAGAAGGTATTGGATGAGATCATTGTTTTTTTTTTTCATCTCATCAAATCCAAAAATTTAGATTCAGCATTAAAAACAATATTTAAAATCCCGACCTAAAAGGTCAATATGAGCTGATTCATTAGTGAGCTTGTTGGTAGATCTTGAAAGTAAAGTAGCCCATTCATGCATGAACAACTTTGAAAATTATTACTCAGATGTTGAATACCCTACTGAAAAATAAGACTAAAAAACCTGGCTCCACAAGGAACCCAAAAGGTTTGATTTATGATGAGTCAAACTCGAACAAAGCTCAAACTAATAATAAATGTACAAAATAATAAATGAACTCAGCTTGAGTTTTGAACTGAGATCAACCCTAATATTAAGTCAAACAGTGCGGAAATATACCTGGAATGGAGTCCGACTTCATTCCCAGATAGTCGCTAAGCAAAGTTTCCCATATATATATGTCAACAAGAGAAACAAGGCCAGCTTAATCATAATACTACTAACTAGCAACCCTTGTTTTCAGCTGAATGATTTTATCCCATGGCATATTTCTGGGTCCAAGATCGGGCAGTCGCCTCATACTTGACACGATCGGTCTTGTACATGTGAGCAATTTCCGGCACCAATGGATCATCAGGGTTTGGGTCCGTCAGAAGTGAACTAATGGATAGCAGCACCTGCAGAACATTGTGCAACATGTATCTATAAGATCAACATGAATCATACTTATTTTACTAAGTTATAGCCACCCTACATAAACAATGCAGAACCAGATCTAGTAAATTATATTACTCAAAGATAATAACTTCCGAATGTGACATAATGCATCCTTACGGCTGGCTGCATTCTCCATTCTAAACAGTATGAAAGCATTATTACCTCGGTCTTTAATTGATACCCCAGTCAACCTCATCCTCCTAGGCAAGTAGGATAGAACTGTCCGTGGCTTAACAACACATGTTCATGGTTGAAATCAAGCTTAGTTGCAATCTGTTCTAATTAGTCAATATATTTCATGTCATATCTACAAATGCACACCTATATGTTATGCATAGGTCATATTATGAATAAACAAAAACATTTTATAATGCATGTAGAAGTCCATAGCTACCATGTCTTCACCATTGAATTAGTTCAAGGCCAAGTACATTCTCCATTCATTAATGAACTGGGAAATTCGAAGCATGATCAAGTAGAATAAGTATATAATTCTTTAAGAGGCCACAATATCTGAAAAAAGGCACTAAAAGAAATTAATGAATATTGTATATTGTCAAATACATTCACCTTGGATATTGTCAAAGCAGGACTCCACTGGTCCTTTAAGATGTCAAGCCAGATGCTTCCGTTACTGTTGATATTTGGTGCTAAATATTTGATGTGTTAAAGTACATTCCAATGATTTAAAAAACGTTAGGCGCCAAGGCCCAAAAACGTCCGAGGCGTTAGGCGCTCACCCAAGCAAAGCGAGATGCTAAAATATAAAAATATATAATATAATTAATAAATATAATTATTTAAATAAAAAATATGATATTAAATTAAAAAAATATTGTAAAATTACAATATCACATTAAAAAAGTCTCAAAATTCAAAACAATAATAATAATTTCAAATAAATAAAAATTAACAGTATTAAAATCAAAATAATATATTATTAATCTAATAAATAAAAATACTGTTACTAGTATACAGTTAGTAGTATACTGTTAATATACTGAATAGTATACGAAGTAAGATGAGTGTAAGAAAGATTGAGGCTACTGACTGAGAGCAATGGTAGCGGCAACGGTGAGCGACAAAAATAGCAATGGTAGCAATGAGTAGCAGGAGTGAGAGCGGCAAGCGATGATAGTGGTAGCGATAGCAGTAGTAGCGGGAGTGGCAAGCGACGACAGTGGCAACGACAGCAACGAGCGACGACAGTGAGAGCGATGAGGGGCAGCGGTGGCAGCAGTAGCAGCGACAACAAGAGCGAGAGCGGCAAGCAAGGTTAGGGTTGGGAAGTCACGAGAGGAAGGCAGATATTGATGCTTTAGTTGGTTCGATTGAACCAACTAAAACATTGGAGACCGAACCAAACCTAAAATGCTGGTTCGATCGCCTGGTTTAACCCGGGCGCTCGCTTGAAGAGCCCGACGCTTGGGCTCGAGTGAGCGCCCAAGCGACGCCTGTTTGAAGCGCGCTGCCTAGAAATGAAGTGAGGCGCTCGGGCCTCGTCTCGCCTCGCTTGAGTGCCTAGGCGAGCGCCCGAGAGCCTATCGAAATCATTGGTACATTCACCTTGTACTAAATATTTGGTGCGTTAAAGTATATTGTCAAGTACATTCACCTTGGATATTGTCAGAGCAGGACTCCACTGGTCCTTTAGTGCACTAAAAAAGGCACTAAAAGAAATTAATGAACTAGGAAATTCAAAGCATGATCAAGTACATTCACCTTGGATATTGTCAGAGCAGGACTCCACTGCTCCTTTAAGATGTCAAGGCAGATGCTTCCATTACTGTTGATATTTGGATGATAAACTTTGGTGCGAAATGAGACCTGAAAATTATTGTACAACCAAGTAACTATATCAAGGCATGACATGTGCATTACTACCACAAAGACACTAGACTTCATTCAATATAGATGCCTCACAATCACATTTCCCATGGTGCCATGGTGACCAGCCTTGTTATCATGACATGATATGATTAACATATAGAACTACTACTTGGGCAGTCATGGAGAATGGTAAATCATTTCTTAATTAGAATTTGTGCAACACACATAATGGTGCATTATAGCTTTCCATATTTACTTCACCCTTTGCAAAATCATTCATATAGGAGCCATTCCAAGAAAGGTCAGAAAACAGCCAACACCAACCAGGATTGTTCAAATTCTGAGGATATACCAAAACCACCTCTTTCATTGGGTTGAGAAATGAAACTTATGTCCTGAGCCAAATACAAAACAAAGACTCATTCTGAATTAGCCAATATCAGCCAAAGGGTGAGAATAATTGTTATGACAGCCAATCAACAATATCGAAGCATATTGGTTTAATCTTTAGTGAGCTTAGGCCCATTTCGCTTCTGGGCTTTCAGCAGGCCTATTACTTAGTAGGTCATAAATAGCCCAATACGACCTGGGTCTAGTAACTCACCTAAAATACAGCGATTAACGGAGGACAACCTTTATGGGTGCTCGGAATCAAAGAATCCCCGTTGTACTAACAAAATGTAAAACAATACCAGTAGTTAAACTAAGAGCAATTAAGCGTATTTTTGTTGTAACTAACAAAATTTTCTTAGTCTCTTTATTTAGCTTGCCTCACGCCACAAATCCTAATCAATAGGCCTCATCTAACAAGGGAAACTACTAGTCTCCTTTATACTTGTCCATATAATGCTAAATGTTTTTCTCATTTTATCCCCTATTGAAGGTATACTTAGCTGTGTGCTAATAAAGATATCTCTTACACTATACCTTCAAGTGAACCCAAATGTTCATCCCAACATTCTTATCTCAATTCTCAATGAAACTTTTTTGGATGTTGCTAATTGTTCAACACTTTAATCTGTGAAATCTTTTAGAGCAAGGGGGATTTGAAGATCACAAAAACTCACTCTCTAAAATTTAACCATAAATTTTATAATCTATCAATAAAGCATATTATCCTTTTACATTATCTTGTAGAATTTGCCTTTTAGTTGAAAAAGCCACATGATGATCACATAAAAATATCAGTGACCTTCCAAATGAATCACACTACTTTTACTCTTTAATAAAGTCCAAAAGTAACAACCATTATGAAAATAAAACATGGCTTCAAGCATAACATAATTGCAGAGAAAAATCATGCAAATGCACAAACAATGTTGGCAAGCAAAGCAAGTACCTTGGGTGGCTTGAATGGGTAGTCAGGTGGAAAATGAATATTCACAAGAAATATACCACCTGCAAATGGGCTATCAGTTGGTCCCATAATGGTTGCCTGCCAGTGGAATATATCTTCAGCCACAGGTCCTGTAGAATTGAAGAAATAAAAAACAAGAAACAAGGATAGTTTATGACAAGCAACATAAACAAATACTTAGCTAAAAGATAGCCATCATGTCCAATGTTCCTAAGCAGCAATTGTGTTTGAACATCAAGAAAACACAAGCGGGAGATGGAATAGAATGGAATATGGCCTTATTAGTTCTACATACAAATTTTGGAACCCCAAGTGCTGAAGTTACTGGCTTTGATTTGCCTTGGGCAATAGCTTAACATGAAATATATTATCACATTACAATTCACAAAAACTGAGTTCAAAAGTTTGCATAACAGCTCAGGAAATTAGGAGACAAATATGTATATTTAAAGTGATAAATATGCGGACTGATGCCTGATGGTAGATACCATTAACTAATAAACTTTCATCCCTGATCTATTCATCAAGAAAAACTCATATTTCTTGAACACAGTTCGTCAAAAAATAAAGAGAACTTTTAAAAACGAAGCATGAATAATATTTTAATTTTATTAATCATAATGATCTCAAATAAGTAGAATTGCCACAGAAGAGCAACTAACAACAAAGAGTAGATTTTGCTAAAAATTACTAATAAGAAAACTCTTGGGAGTCAATTGCATCCCGAGCGGCACAACAAGAAACTAACCTGCACTGCAAGATGCAGGAGGATCCTTCTCCAAGTCCTTCAACTCCTTCATGATCCTCTTCGAACCCATCAGTGTTCGATCAAACTAAGACGATTCCTGTAGCAACGAACAAGAACTACAATCAACAACGAATCCGCCGCCGCAACCGCGAAACATATGTAATCGAGTGACGAAAACCAAAAAAAATCGATTCTCTATGAGACAAAAAACATCTGGAAACCGCATCAACAAAATCTCGATAAACAAGTCCAAGAAAAATCCCGATAAATAAACCCTAGAATACGATCAACAAAATCAAGGAGAACATAGGAGCCAAACCAAAGAAAATGGATAGGGCTTCGGACCACAGAACGGAAAAGGGGATCCAAAACCTAGGGTTTCTCTCACCCAACAGCAGATCAATGGAGACGCCCTGCCCTATTTAATGCCATGGAGTCTAATTTAATAGTTTCCGTTTAATATTTTTCTCCGCTCTTTTAATCCGCCAATCAAAAAAAGGAAGAGGAAACGTCGGATTTGACGTCGATGAGGTTTGATCGTTCCATCCTGACCGTCCGACGTCTGTGCCATACGAGAGGGTAAATTAGTAAGATACACTTAAATATAAAACCCTACCGACATATCTTTTGCGAAGCACTTTCATATCACAGAGGATAAGATTATGAGCTAACAATAAATCGTTAGAAGTTCTTGAGAAGGGTCATCGAATCAATCTGATGCACATTCACTGTGATCGTCGTGATCGATCAAACACATCAAAAGCCAGCCAACTATTATTGGTCATGCAGCTTAAGAAGTCAACGCGAGGGAGGGGTTTGACCAGGCGTCTTGTGGGTGAGCAACCTGCTCCGGTGCTCACGCGCACAGCGGGCGTTGAATTCTTTATACAGGTCATGCGTCTCAGGCCTTCATGCACCCACACGTGAACCCTTTGCTCACGTAAACCAGCATAAATAGCGTTGGATCAACCTGCAATTGCTTGAAGTGCATCCAAAACGATCGGAGAGAAGATGGGTAGGATTCCATGTTGTGAGAGGGAGAACGTGAAGAGGGGCCAGTGGACGCTGGAAGAAGACAACAAGCTCGCCTCTTACATCGCCCAGCATGGCACACGAAATTGGCGACTCATCCCCAAGAACGCTGGTAGTGTTGTATGTGCTGTGGTGGAAGTGTTGCTGATCTCTGGATGTGATGTTTGCTGAACTGAACTTGCAGGGTTGCAGCGATGTGGGAAGAGCTGCCGGCTGCGGTGGACGAACTACCTTCGCCCGGACCTCAAGCACGGAGAGTTCTCTGAGGCCGAGGAGCAGACCATCGTCAAGCTCCATGCCGTCGTGGGAAACAGGCAAGATTGCGAAACCACCCGCGGATGATTGCATGTTTTGAGCCGATGACGGAGAGGTTTGTGGCTGGTGTGATCAGGTGGTCGCTGATAGCAGGCCAGCTGCCCGGGCGCACCGACAACGATGTGAAGAACCACTGGAACACCAAGCTGAAGAAGAAGCTGTCGGGGATGGGAATCGATCCCGTGACACATAAGCCGTTCTCCCATCTCATGGCGGAGATCGCCACCACCCTGGCGCCGCCCCAGGTGGCGCACCTTGCGGAGGCCGCCCTTGGCTGCTTCAAGGACGAGATGCTCCACCTGCTCACCAAGAAGCGCACCGACTTCGCCTCGGCGCCGCCCGCAGTCACAGGCAACGCTTACACTCCAGAGAGCACCGGCGGTAGCAAGGAAGAGACCATAGAGAAGATCAAGCTGGGGCTGTCCAAGGCCATCATGCACGACCCCAACGCGGACAAGGTCTGGACCATGATGGCTTCTGCGGGTGAGCCGTCCGATGGCCTTGCCGGGTTGGAAGAGACGTACCCGACGTTGAACGAAGGGTTCCGATACGACGGTCCTTCATATGGCAACGAAGGGGAAGGATCAGCGTGGAGCCAGAGCACATGCACGGGCGGCGCGGCCGCGCGAGGTGGTGGCGGATTGCATGACAAGGTTGAGGATGACAACGGAGAGGAGGCCGAGGGTGGAAAGGCCGAACACAAAGTCAGTGCTGCCGGTATGTTCACCTCGGAGTGCGTTCTGTGGGATTTACCTGATGATCTGATGATTCATCCTATCGTGTGAAGAAGAACGAAGATGCTAACTACACAGAAGCCACCATAGGAGAAGTAATAATGCCAAGAGAGAACAAGTTAACTACATTCTTGTTGATAATGTTGATGGGAAACACAATTCAACAAGTAGAGCATCTAAGTTGTAGCACTGCTGATACATTTCATGTGCTTCATCAACTTCTTAAACGAAACTGAGGCTGACAGGACTATATTTTGGCTTCTGATGACAATGGATCAGATTGCACATTATACTATCTGTGATTAAGAAACTAATATTAGGCAGAGAGGAATCTGTAGCTCAGAGATAAACATACTTAAACAGTTGAAGTTAAAGAATGGAGAAACTTGCCTTTGACAGTCTATCAATCATTCTCTTTCCAAAGATAAAAGAATAAAAGGAAATATAATGCTTATCTTTTGGTCCTTTATGTCTTCTTCCTTCTTCTTAGGGAAAAAAACCTAAATTTCTCAACTTTCTTAGGGAAATATAAGTTTTATCAAAAAATTTAAGATTTAGAGTTGATTTAAATTAATTTATATGTATTTTTTGGGATTAACGAGTCAACTCTTTCTGAGCGTGCCGTTTTATTTTTCTTTCATTATTGGTTTAGAATATCTTTGTATTCTTCGTGATCATACTCATAGAATAATCATCACGATTGTATTTTAGGCAAATTCTCGACAACACTTGCTCGAGATTGGAGAATATGCTTAGGATAATGCTTGTACGCCTTTAGGTTCCTCTTCTATGCTTTCTATTTTAATTTTTTTTTTCATATTTTAACCTATTTTTGATTTAAATAAAAAGTTATTTTAGTATTATTGCTCCAACATTCAAAGCATATTCTTCCTTTGAACTAAATAGGCCGTTAACCTGAAAATTAAAAAATATATTTATTCATGTTAATCCTTGTGTAAGTGTTTGATTATTTGTTATATAATATGATTTAATTTAACTACTGGATTAGCATTGTGAAACAAATATTTCATAAGTGTTATTCCATTATTGTTATAGTTGTTTAATGATTATTTTATCATTTTATTAATATGTAAAAAATAATATCATTATTGTTATAGTGGTTGCATGTTATTTCATCATTTATGTAGCTGTAAAAAATTGATAATTTGCGTTATACTTTTAGTTTATATTTTTGGATTTATATTAAAGAAAAAATAACTTTAACAGTATTCCTTTATTATGGACACATCAATTTTATTTTATAAAAAAAACTTATGCTACTTTGCACAGTATTCACTCCTCTCTCTCTCTCTCTCTCTCTCTCTCTACACACACACACACACATATATATATATATATATATATAATTTTCTGAAGAAATTGAACATCTCTATAGATTTAGAATCCTTAACTATCTTTTAGATGACCTTTATGAAATTTATAGAAAATATAAAATTATTAAGGAAATATGACAAGATTTAGGAGATTCATTTCTTAGATATTCTAAAGATATCCATAGCTTCACTATTTTTTATTTTACCAATTTTAAAATGATCGATCATTAACCCATGAATGATCAAATTCATATCTATTTATGAAATTCATAGAACTAAAACTATCTTTTCTTAATTATATCATATCTCCTATCTATTCAAATAAACTCCGGTGCAAATTTGATTAAAAGATTATACAATCTTAAATCATTCAAAATCTTGAGTTTATTATTTAAACTATTAGAATAAAAGATCAATATTGACAAAGGAAAGTTCAAGAAAATCAAATACAAGGTAAAGTCAAAATGACTAAATTCCAAAGCTATTTTCAAAATAATAAAAATTCTAATAGAACTAAGGTCATAATTTTATTCCTAAGGGTAAAAATTTTAAACTAAAGGCTAAAGGGTTTAAACCAAGATTCTCATATCTTAATCCAAATTCTAACCTTAATCCTAAATCTAACTAATTTCAAAACCTCAAGCACTCCTTCAAATCTGAAGAAAATAAGAAGCTAGAAAAAGATGGCTTCTAGTAAGTTCATGCCCAAGACAATCATCTTATTCTTCTATCAAAAGAAGGAAAATGTGATTTTCATAAAGAATGACTCATTTAGGCCTAAATCTCAAGTTAATGTGATGAAGGTTGAACTATCAAATTTTATTTTTAGATTTATTTTTTTATCCCAATTATGAATCTAATCTATCATGATTTTGACTAGTGGCTAGATTCTGGTGCAAACATTTATGTTTGTGCTAATCAAGAATGATATTTCTCTTATTAGATCTTAAGTGGAAGAAGAGTAACTATGAGAGAATGGAACCTAACCAGTGGATCTCTCCTAATCTAGTTAGGATATATAATAGCTTTGAAAGCAAATCTTCTAGGGAGATATGTATATAGGGAAAGGTTTTGTATCTAAAAAACTTTTGTAATCACTCTTTCAATCAATAAAGATGAATAATATTTTAATAAACTTATCAAATTTTGTAAATATCATTATATATATAATTCAGGAAGTCACTGCTCTCTATACATCTTAATATGTGGTTGAAAGAAATAATAAGATTATTTTAGATATAGCTAATGCCTTGATCCTTAGTTCATAAGTTCTCCAAAACTTATGGAAGAATACTCTTATCTACTTGTTATATACTTAACATGATAAAGAGGTAACTGCTTATGAACTTTGAAAGAGTTACAAATCAAGGCTAAGTTACTTTTAAACGTGAGGGTGTTTAGCTAATATTAGTTAGCAATACTTAAGAGAAAGAAGATAGGTCTCAAAACAATTGAGGTTGTCTTTGTATGATTCTCCATAGCAATACTTATATATTTCTTATAGCAAATTCTGAAATACTTGAAATCTCAAATGTCTAATTGAATCTAGAAATATATCGTTCTTTAAAAATATTATTTTTTTTCATCTTTTTCAACTCAATCTAACATTGAACCTAAAAGAAACAAGAGAGGTTAGATTGAAAAGAACTTGGTGATGATTTTATCTATTATATGCTAAAAGATATAATAAGTTTATTTCTAAAAGCTATGTGCATTTTTTTTATGCTAGAAAGAGACTATTAATAGTAAAATAAAAATCCATAATTAGTAATTATACTTGAATTCTTGCTAATTTATCTCATAGATCTAAATCCCTATATTGCAAGTAGATTTTCAAGAAGAAGATTAAGATCGATAGTACAATTAAATAAAATATAAGACTAGATTTATTGCTTTGGGTTTTTGGTAGAAATCTTACATTGATTATTTTAACACTTATGTACTTGTATCATGAATTACTATCACCTGAGTCATACTTATTTTTACTTCCAAACTTTTTGTTCACCAAATGGATGCAAAAACTATCTTTCTACGTTAAGAGCTAGAAGAAGGGATATATATGAACCGAAGGATTTATCATTTTTTCACAAGAAGAAAAAATGTGCAAGTTGATCTAATCCCTATACTCACTCAACTTAACCAAACACCTAAGTAGTGGCATCAAAAATTTGATTCTATAATTCAATCTTCTGAATTTTAAATCAATGAATATGATAAGTGTCTTTATTATAAAAGGATAGGAAATAAATTTATTTTCTCTCTTTATATTGATGATATCTTTTTTTTTTTGCTTGAGATATAGATTTGATCTTCGAGATTGAATCATTTATATCTCATCACTTTGAAAATCTAAAATTTTTTTAATTCTATATCATTGTCTCAATCTTATTATACTTAAAAATTAATTTAAAAAATTAGATATTCTGACTATCTTCGCTCCTTATGATCATCTTGTTAAAAATATTCAAATAGGACTAGACCTGATATTTTTATGTTATATCCAAATCTATTAGATATACTGGTAACCCAAGTTTGACTTACTAAAATACTATTGAATAAGTTTTTAAATATCTTAGTGATACTTTTGATTATGAACTTAAGTTTGTACGATATCTATTAGTTCTTGAATATTACTATGATGCCAACTAGATTATTTATTCTTTAAATATTAATCTACATATAGATATGTATTCCTTTTTAGTGGAAGTACTAAATCTTAAAAATCAATTAAACAAATTATTATTTTAGAAGTACTATGGAAGTTGAGCTTGTAGTACTTGACACAACTTATATTGAAGTAGAATGATATAAGAATCTAATTTTTAATCTTTCAATGATCTCAAACCCTATACCTCCTATATCTATTCATTGTGATTATAAAACTATAATAATTTTTTATGAAAAAATAATTAATACTAAAATAAGTTGACACATAAAGATTAGATAAAAAAAACTGTTAGATAGTTAGATTCTCATCTTATTATTTTTATATTTTATGTTAAAACTGATAGTAATCTAATCGATTATCATACAAAAAGCTTAAATAGGATTAAGGTACTGGTATCATTAAGGGGGATAAGTCTTTATATAAAATGAGTTTTCTAATGATGAAAATCCAATCCTTGTAATAGAAGATCTCTCGAAGGAGGTTCAATGGGATAATAATGAGTTAATCGGTTGACTAAGGAGTAAAATGATTAGCACCTTAGTGCATAGAGATACGGAGTTTATCTCTAACTTCATCTTTACGGTGATTAGTGCTCCTATGTAAAGGTATAGGAAAAGTCTAACCGTGAAAGAAATATAAAATGGTATATTTTACTAAATGTAACTTTACACACATTTGTAGTAGAAGCTCTCCCACATGAGAGAATCCGTAGATGATCATGGTTTGGGATATGGGCAATCATTAGAATCTTTCATGAATAAACAAGATACTTATGTATGGTTACTAGCGCAACCATTCATTTCATTTCCTTTAGATGAATATTTATTTTATTAAATGAGGTTAAGTCTTTCAAAAGATACATTATTGACTATACAGTAAATTTGAGTTTTTTAATGAATTATTGAAATTTGATGGGAAAACACTCAAATTCTTGGGCTTAAGTCTCACTTTATATGAATGCTTACTTCATTAGAGGTTAAGTATTTGAAAAGATATATTATTGTTTATACAGTAGATACACTAACAATAATTATTTTTAAAATAATTTTATTTATTTAGTTATTTATTTAAAGTAAATTTGAGTTTTTGTGATGGATTGTTGAAACTTAAAGGGAAAAAAACTCAAATTCTCCTTTGACTTTAGTCTCACATTGGCACTCAGACACTTTTCCCTCAACTTTTTTACTCTCATCTTTAAAATTTTATAAAAAATTAAAAAGTAACGTTGATCCAAAATTATTTACATGTATTTATATAAATTTAAGCAACTCTTTGAGCTGCCACAACTTTGGATTTCTCATCTAAACTTTTTATTTTAATTTATATATAAATATATCTTTATTTAATCAGAAATTATTTTAGTATTATTTCTCAGATTTACAAGGTGAAGGCAATATATATCTTTCTTTGCCTCAATAGATAAAATTAGAAGACTCTAATTGGATGAATGCTCTATCTTGTAGCTGAAATATAATTGGATTATATGGCTTTAGCTACACTGATCATAGATTAGGATGTAGGGCATCCTTGTTCCATTTAAAGTTCTTGGATTTCTTGAAACAGGATAGACAAGTTAAGATGCTGATAGCCTCAACACCAAAAATGCATGATAAGTGTGTGTGCAAACACAAATGCAAATTATCACACAAACCAAATTGAGAGATAAATGAATACTTTGCAACTTGAAAAATGTTGAATATGTTTGGTTACTAAGCAACTGACATACAGTATTTTTAACACAATGTATTTTTGTTTACTGCAGTGTAGAAAATCATGAGAACATTAGAAAAACTTTGTATTATAATTTATACAATCATGCTGGTTTCTTGTTCCTCTTAACTGCAGGTGATGTCTCTGTTTCCTGAGACAGGATTCAAGACCAATAATCACTGTTAAAATCATGAGAAAAGGACTTCAGATGGGCTACTCCAGAAATCTAAAACCAGAAAACTAAATGCAGTCACTGAAATGTTCAACATGCTGCAAAAAAAGATTACCAAACAAGAATCTTGTAGTAATAGTTGATTCTTTTTGCTTGGTTATGTATATGACTTTGTAATAGTTTATTCTTATCAACCTATAATTTGGATCATTTCTTAATTTGTTCATGCTAATATTCTCTATATTGTTTCAATTTCATCAGATGTCTCCAAAGAGACCTTATCAACCTATAATGGATATAGCAATCATAATTAGTCTCTTCTAACTTGAAGCTTGTACAAAATCTTCTACTATGATCTTGAAGTTGAAGATGCTTTTAAAATGCTACATCTCTCTTTTGATTCTTAATTTGTAGTGACAAAACTGGCTAATCAAAATCAATATTCATATATACAAATTTTCTTTTTCGACGATAATACGAGATCAATAACTCATCGAAATACGACTAAAATAAAGGAGACAAAAAAACAAACATAAGAGAATGCTGTTCACAGCTGAAGTGTCTTCCATCATGCATCAACTTACTGAAGGCCTCTGAGAACCAATGATCCCAAATCTCCAGCTAATCTTGATAGTGAGAATACCTAATGCTAGCAATCTAGCTGTTCTAGTAAAACAACTAGAACTGATTCAATTTGAGGCACTCAGGAAAATCCATTTAATCCTATCATCATTGAACTGAAAGATGATTAAGAGGGTGTAATATTAGCAACCTCTGTTTCTTTATTCAGCAGCTTGCAGGTATTCTGCATGGTTGGTCACCACAAAGTAATGGATTGGGTTTTCATTGTATTATATTAGATTTTTTATACTTTTTGTTTAGGTATGGAATTAACTCAATCATGCATGAAACCACCTAATTCACTTCATTTCTCTGTTGAACTATTGATCAAAATCAATATAACACTAAGATGAACTTGATGGGCAAACATCCCCTCCTACTATTGATTATAATAAGAACCTTTCAGTTTATGTAGAATGATGGGAGGAATATATCTTTAGAACAAGAAAGCTGAGGGAATAAGAAGCAGAAACTTCAGAAGCAGTGTTTTTCTTTGATTACATCTGCCAACCAAACTATACTCCCCACAGTTGTGATGGAGGAGAAAGAAAACTTGTCAGTCCTATAAGACCAAGTCTTCTTTGCTTCTAACCACTCATTGTTCATTGTATGTGTTGCTGAAGTAATTTGCTTCCTCTCGATGATCATGAAGGGTGAGGAATATGACAAGCTAAGACTTCTTCCACCGAGTTCAACAGTGTTGTAGCAGGACAAATCTAAGCATCTTATTCAAGAATGTTTCAGCATCAGGATTGGAGATTTGTAGAAGTATGAAGAATACATAAACACAAGAATCAAACAAGAAGAAGGATTAATGAGCACTTCGTACAGAGGAGTTGACGCAGTCAACCCTGTTAAATGGTGGACTCCAGGGGTCGTTTCTAATATTTCTCGATCCACATTTTAGTATCCTGTACCCATCTATAATCCCAAAAGAGCAGCTATCGGCGTGTAGAAGGCCTTCGATCCGACTTTGGCTCAACTGTTACAGCCCGTCTAAAAGCTCGTGTTATGATTGGCCCTCCTATCCGGCCCCATGCGGATGTTTCTCCGTCGACACCAATAGGAAGACTCCTTCATCTGGTTGCTGTCTCTACCTAGACAGAAGCTGTACAACTGCGATCGCATCTTGAGGTTGTCTTCCCACGCTCGCCTCCTCTTTTTGACCTCGCGGTCTCCCTCTGTGCGAGTCCATTTCGCTCGTTCTTCGCCAAATTGATGCGAATAAGAACGAGTGTAGTCTACCGAAGACTTCAAAGTGGGAACCGATTGCTTTCCCTTTGCGTCGAGAGGTATGTGTTCGCAGCTAAGCTGATTGAGGTTTTGCCCTGCCATCTTTGATTCCAGTGGTCGAGTTCTCTTGACGTTTTCTTCCTCCAGGAAGAAAAAGTTCGTTTTTTTTTCTTTCTCTTATTGTGCTCATGTGTTGGATTCTTGATTTTATTGGTTTACTTCTGGTTTTGGAGATGGAAGATAAAAACCCCAACGGAAAATTCTTTTCTTTGGTGATGCCGAGTTCGGAATACTTGCAATTATCTTGCGGGAAAATCAAAGTGGAATGGGTTTTCATTTGATTCGGTTGGATTTTGTTGAATTGGTTCATGGCTTTTCTTTTCCTCTCGTTTTGGTTGACCGTTCTTTGGCTTTGAGCTTTGTGATCATGTGATCGACCCCGGTTGAGATTCTTCTCCTTCTCTTCTTCATAAATCAAGAACAATCTCTTGGCTTTGGCTTGAAGTTACCTTTTTTTAAGCACTGAAAAGTTAGTGAATGAAGATTAGTCAAAGTAATCCTGTTTGGATGTGGCAAAGTTAAAATATGATAATTCGTGCAATCGCATCGGCTATATGCTCACCATCGCAACGATGCCTTACTTCACAGTGCTGCAAGCTTATAATCTCTTTACAAGTTTGCAGTGAAACAACATGCCAAAAAACTTTTCCTTGACACCATTGTGGACAATTTACTTCGTTATATATTTGTTATGTAATTCATAAGCATTGAATATACAAACGTAGTTGGCATAAGCTTATTTGTTTTGATACAAAACTTGATATTCTATGCTGTGTAGGAATTCAAAATGTTATCTTCCTCTAAGATTCAGAAGGTCGTGAACAATGGGGAATCAGACTTATAAAATCATTATAGGGGTCTCAGTTGGGATTGCAGTTGGGATTTTGATCGGATGTGGTGCATTGATTGTTATAAGGCTCTATAAAAAACGTTCTTATGGCCAGCACCAATCAAGAGACCTCAGCATAGCATCTGTTCCCATACGTGTAAATGGAGTTAACACCAGCATTGATTCAAGTGCAACACTCTCTGGTTCTGGGACTAATTCTGGCTTCCAATACATGGCAAAGAGGAATGCTAACACTAAAGACCTTTTTGCATCTCTCTCAGGAATTCCAAGATATTCATACAAGTATGTCTTCTATTGGTCTTCTGAAATTTAATTATTATCTTTAGCTATGATTACTTATGCTAGAGCCTAAGCTATTAATTACTCACAGACATTCCTTTTATTTTCTGTGTGCATCTTTTGTTCAAGAGTATAATCTCAACATAGAATCTACTAACATTTTGCTACCTGTGAATTCTTTGACAACGTTGGATTGACTAATATTTGATGAACTCTATTATATATCATGCACATGAGATATAGTTGTACTACATAATTAAGAATATCTCTAGATGGTCATGTTAACAAGAGGTTAGATTATTCTTTTCTATGTTAACAAAAGAATACTGCATATGAGATTATATGAGATATTAAGGTAGTGGACAAAATATCTCTACATAGTTAAGAGTGTTCTTTTCTATGTTAACCAAAAAATACTGCATATGAAATTATATGAGATATTAAGATAGTGGACAAAATATGTTAGATAAATACTTTGTTGAGTGAACCAAGAATACACTCATCTTCCTGATCAAGCACATAGTTCTGTCATGATTCAGATTGTGGATGATATTTTAATACATCTCAGCTTGTGAATAGATTTTGGATATTGGAGAACCTTAGCTTAATTTAGTGCTCATGTTTGAAAGATCATAATTCTAACAAAAAGTTTTTCTTAAATATATTAAATGTGACATTATTTGCATACTAAATGTTCCACTCTTTACATGTCATTTTCTTTCGATAAGATAGGATTACCTAGTATATAAAATATATTCGTGTTTAAGCAATGGTATTTAGTAATTTGACTTAATGATATCTTAAAATGTGTTATCCAGGGACATCCAGAAAGCCACAAAGAACTTTACGACAGTGTTAGGGCAGGGATCTTTTGGCCCAGTATATAAAGCTGCAATGCCTACAGGTGAATTGGTTGCTGTTAAGGTGCTTTCAAGTAATTCAAGCCAAGGAGAAAAGGAGTTCCAAACAGAGGTATTCTGTTCAGTCTTTAGACATGCATGCTTCTACCCTTCGTTCAGATTGTTAATTAGCTGGCTATTAAAAGTTGAAACTTCCATAAACTTGGTTTAAGCTTGACTTGGTCTGATAAAATCCCACTTGCTGAATCAGTACATGAAGTTTTCTTTGAAATTCAAGATTTCAGGAAGAAAGCTATTTTGAAGAACATGCACTTGATGGACATGTATTCTACGTGTGAATTCTAGTGGTTTTAATCTAGGTTTGTAGTTTCGTACCATACTAGAGTTTCGAATTCAGCTCGGTATGGTACGGTACGATACAAGTATACCTTCAGTCTTTAGAAATGCATGCTTCTACCTTTCGTTCATATTGTTAATTAGCTGGCTATTAAAAGTTGAAACTTCCATAAACTTGGTTTAAGCTTGACTTAGTTAGATAAAATCCCACTTGCTAAATAAGAACATGAAGTTTGCTTTGAAATTCAAGATTTCAAGAAGAAAGCTATTTTGAAGAACATGCACTTGATGGACATGTATTCTATGTGTGAATTCTAGTGGTTTTAATCAAGGTATGTAGTTCAGCTCGGTACGGTACGATACAAGTATATCGAGCAGTATGCTCTAGCGTACCGCTTGGTGTATATATATATATATATATAAGTTAAAAAATAAAAAAGGGGCGATGTTACGTCGTTTCTTCTCCCCACGTGGGGAGAAGAAAACCTTGAAGCCTCAGCGACGTCTCCGAGGTTTCTTCTCCCTACGCCGAGGCTTCGAATCCTTGCGCGGATTAGGAGAAGTCGCCGATGATGCCGAGGTCTCCTCGTGAAGCCTCAACGACGTCATCGAGGTTTCTTCTCCCCATGCCGAGGCTTCTTCTCCCTGCGCGGATTAGGAGAAGTCGCTGATGACGTCGAGGCCTCGTCACCTCAAACGAGGAGGAGGTGACATCTCATCTGCAACGTTCGATGAGGGAGAGCGATGATGGATCGGGATCGTCGAGGGAGAGCGGTGCCGGATCTCCAGGTTCTCCCTTTTCTTTTCCCTCTTCTTCCTTCTCCCTCGGCTAATACCACCCGGTAGCGGGCAACGACGGTCGAAATCGATCGTCATCGATTGATTTCGGGTGGTAACGGGGCGAAAACAGTCCCAATCAACAGTACCACCCGGTGGCGGGTGGTCTGTGTACCAGTTTGCTTGTGGATTGGTATGTATCGCCCGGTACGGGCAGTATCATTCGAAATTAAAAACCCTGGTTTTAACTAAAACATACCTTAGATGAGCCTGAAATTTATCCAAAACTTCATACTAGATGATAAGATTGTCTATATGATGCAAATTAACCGAAAATCCCAATACTTTTATCTGATTCAGTCTAATGACTAGTGTCCAAACTAAACCCACAAGGCTCAGCCTAAATTTAAATTATCCATGGACCAAATTTATAAAATAAAGAAGTTTTGAAATGTTGTTTGACATATTAAGATTAATACTAACCTAGCTTTTTCTTATTGATGAACAGGGTTTTTGTTTTCAAGGAAGATGAACTATATAGTCTTGGAAACTAACTTGAACCATTAGATATTAATGAAAAAGCTTGTTCTAGAGAACTAGACTTCTCTGTTCATCATGTCTCTCATGCGTTGTGTGAAATTTGAGATAATAGTGTCATATTCATAGTCACGTATCTATCTGCCTGAAAAGTCCATTGTTTGATTGATTCATAACATTTCATTCATCCAACCTTCTAAGTAGTATTTTGCCTTTGGCCAGTTACATATGAATACTGAAGTATATCTTTTATTCAATCAATGTAATTTATCAACTGCTTATTTTTGTAGAACCAGTCAAATCCTAGTCATTCCATTTCTCAAGCACAGAATCAAGAATCAAGAATCAGTGGCTGCTGTGATCTAAAGTCCTCAAATTTCTGGCTATGATACTTTTTTTTATTAGAGGCTATACGAAAAATAAACCCATTTACCATGAGATAGATGGAAAATATGCCTGCAATTGTTATTTTCTAAAACATATCTTAATAAAAACAAGAAAAGTTCTGATTGAATCATTGCTGAGAAGTGAATGCTTCATTCAAATATCTGAATTATAGTGGCAAGGGGGTGCTACCTTACTGTATGTCATTGGAGAAATAAAGTCCCAAAAAACAAAATGAATGTTGAATCTCTTTCAGCAAGACAAAAAAGATAGAGAACTGGCAAGTTAATGTTTCATACCGGGCTGCCGCCATGTCCCAGGCCACTGACCAAAATGGGGTTGTGGAGGGAATATAATCCTTAGTTTGGTTCCAAAGATGCATCAGTATTGTTTATGTACCATTTTCTCTACTGAAAAACTGTGTATGAGCAAATGTGAAATTTTAATATTCTTTTGTTATCTTTCACTTGTCTAGGTACTTTTGCTTAGCAGGTTGCACCACAGGAATCTTGTGAATTTGGTTGGGTATTGTGTAGATAAAAGCCAACGCATGCTCATTTATGAGTTCATGACTAATGGGAACTTAGCAAGCTTCTTATATAGTAAGTTCAAAATTTTCTATTCGGCTATGCAAAGCCAGCATCACCCGAGTTGCATGCCATACTAGTATACATAAGAAGTATACTCTGGATGTTTCTACGATATCTAACTACAATCATCATCGAATTTCTGAAATATGATAATTGATTAGTTAACATGTGACTAAACAAATTTTAGAATTATCTTACAACCGTAAAACATCCTTTCTTTGTTTATCAATCAATTATCATGATTCTATCACAATAATTGAAATATTAACCAAATGTCTACAATAGAGCTTTTTGTAGTTTATTGGTTTCTAACAACAAAGCCTAATTGTTTTATGCATCACATACACATGCAGTTCCATATACGAGTAAGTTTCTATGTCATAGAATACCTAAGTGCTTCTCAAACATCTCATGCTAATGAGTCACACAAGTAATTGATCTCATTAATGATTAAAGTAATCTACAAAACAAGCACTCTGTTCAAACATATCTAATTATGCCAAAAATAACTTTACAGGACAAGCTCTGATATTCTGGACATTGCAGATGATTATCTGATTATACGGAAAGTCTAGAAATTTTTTCTAGCACACAAACTCGATAAACACTAAAAGTCAGAAATTGCATAAAAATCATGAACCTTATGTTCTGTTATCAATGTAAAGTGTAAAATTCTGCAATTGCTACCAAACAAAAAAAAACACATAAAGGCATATTGGCATGCTAAATTTTTTACAAAATTAATTGTCCATGATGGAGTTTGACTCTGTGTATGTTTCTCTTGGCCTTTATGTTAGTTGTAGCATGTGTGTTCTTCACAAACTCACTAGAAGTTCATCAAAACCGAAAAGTATAAACTAGTACAAGAAGTTATGAATATCATGAAACGTCTTCTGTCAGTTTTATCCTGTTTCAGTCCATGATGATGCTGGACCTTGAACTGAAAATCTCAAATCTTGCATAAATTTTGATGCATTAGTGTCTAGTTATAGCAACTTAGGCTTGTTTAATCCAAATATTTGAACAATTGTTTAGTTTTAGATGTTCGAACCGTGGTGTTTTCTCCCAAATGATCAGCAATTTCCTTGTATTTCAAAATTTGTGAATAATTTGGATATCACTTTGTTTCTTTTCTTTTTCTTTTTCTTTTTCTTTGTTCAACTGCAACTGAACACTTACCATCATGAATGTTCTTAGGTGATAATCCAAGAATTTTGAGCTGGGAAGAGAGACTGCAAATTGCCTCTGATGTTTCACATGGAATAGAATATCTTCATGAAGGGGTATGTTATATATCTTATTTTCATATTGTAAATTGTTAACCACCCTCTAGGGCCAGTTAATCATACAATAATTTTTGAACAGGCAATCCCTCCTGTCATACATCGAGATCTAAAATCTGCTAACATACTCTTAGATAAATCAATGAGGGCCAAGGTGAGTCAACTTACATGTGCATTGCAATTTCCAGTTTTTTTATATAATTTTCTTGTTATGATGACAATGAAGTACCAGTAACAAGTGTTTGGCCATTTGTTAATCCTTTATGGTATCAATTCAATATAATATTTGCTTTTGAAGACTTATTTCCATATTATAAATATGGATATAATTATTTCCATAATTTTTGTCCTTTCAAGAATTATATTACCCATGTATCTGAGCTCAAGAGACACCCTTGGAAGAAACTTAAGATTTTCTTATCATCATGGTATAATCTTATAAAGAATCAAATTATGAGAACTTACAGACTTAATTTTCTTTAACAATGGTAAATTTTATAGTCATTTGACAACTTAATTCATTGAATTGTTCAATGTTTGCTGATGCCTTCCTTGGTTTCTTTTTCTATCATTTATCATTGTTATCTCCTCTCATGTTTTTCACATTGAAGAATCTTGTACCTCATTTTCCTTTTATATTTTGTATTTGTGTTGGCAAATCATCAATGCTTTAGCCGAACTTGTTCTAACTTTTGAACTTATTACTTTTCATGTCTTGATTGTTGATCAGCACTACTGAGTCAGAGGAGATCTGTGGAAATTTTAGTATTCTGATACTATTCCAAACAACCACTTCATATGCATTCATAAACGAATTCTAACCATGAGTCCATGACCTTATAGGAATGGTTTGCTTCACTCTGTTAATAGAAGTTCACAAGACATTTTTGTGTTTTCTCTACCTCATCAGAGGTCTATTGGTAAAGACGCTAATGGTAGTTATGGAAAGCAACCATCTTCCTGCATGCAACATGTGATCCAAACACAAAGACTTGTGAGGTTAACTTCTTCTAAAGTGGTCCCTTTGCTACATTATGATCATCAATCTTGCAGAGCTTCATAGCAAAATCATGTCAATGTAGTTGCACTTAACCTCTTTTAAATTTATTCACAGGTCATTTTGTAGATTTTGAAATCTTAATTGATTCCTTTTCTGCTTTGCAAAAAAATGATCTACTAGATCTTAGGTATGTATTCTGGATAAGTCATAGTCAACATAATTATCCAGGGTCACACTTCTAATTTGAAGTTACAATACATTTGAGAAGTACAGAATGAAGTAAAAAAGATATTCTGTCAAGTGCTGGAATAACATGTTAATAAATAAAATTGATAAATAAGCATGATTTAATGAATGCTAAGTCTATGATTCTGCACATACAAGTTGCAAGTTAGAATCGTCTGTTCTGATTATACTTTCTCCATTTGCTGAGTAAGTCACCATATTCCCAGATCTCTTTAGTAATACTTGATAGGTCCATCTTTCCAAATAAAACATCTAGTTAGCAACCGTAGCATATAGTATTTGTTTACAAATGGAGGCCAAGAACCTGGTAATGAGAGGAAATGGAAAAGGCCTTTAGAGTGGATGAATGTCTGAGTGGAGGAAATAAGGATTTGTCCGTGTTCTATCTGTTTGAAGCAGAGAGAATGAAAAGATTCTGGGTTCTGATGGGCTTTGCCAATGAACACAACAAATTGTATGATCAAACATGCACAGGGAACAGTACATGTGGCCATGTACATGCGGTCCTGCATATAGATTGAGTGGATTTTACTAACAGGAATTTTAGTCAGTTGTCTTTAATTAAATGAGAATATATTAGCTGATATTTTGTTAAAGAGAGAGCGCTTTCCTGTTTCTGAAGCACAAGCTCATATCAGGTCTGTCATACCGAAGCATACCGTCCGGTATGGGCGGTACGTACTGGTCCGACAGGTTATCGGTACGCGGACCACCCGATACCGCTATAGTGCTCTAGTTTAATACTGTAGCATTGCTACAGTACTACAGTATTATACTGTAGCACCACTACAGTATAAAAATAAAATTGTTCGGTACACCAGGGTGTACCGCTCGGTATGCCCTGATGTACCGCTCGATACACTGGTACCGTACCATATCAAGCCCGGGTCAAAATGTCGGTACGGTACGGCGAACCTTGCATATATTGATAAATTTCTTGTTGAAACTAGAACCCATGCTTATTACGGAACTGCTAGTTGTCAATCTGTCTACACGTGCCAGAAATCTTTTTACCGTTGGAGATGCATATGCAGATAGTGATTTGCAAGAACTGACTTGGATGTTTCAGAATTTAGTTGGTCTTGTAATTTTATTTGCTGCCTACATCATGTAATTCTTTCATAATTAATTTTCATGCCAATTATCCGTGCAGGTTGCTGACTTTGGATTGTCCAAGGAGGAGACATTTGACGACAGAAAGTCAGGCCTCAAGGGTACATATGGTTATATGGATCCAGACTATATGTCAACAAGCAAATTCACAAAGAAGAGTGATATATACAGTTTTGGGATTATATTGTTTGAACTAATAACAGCAATAAACCCACAGCAAGGTCTAATGGATTATATAAATCTTGTAAGTTCTTTCTCTGCTAACCATAGATTTAATTGTTTTAATGAAAAGAAACATAACCTTATCTCTAACTTCAGTGGGAAACATTCCATAGACTGAAAGAAAATTAATTGGTAATCTATACATGGTAGAAGAAAATTTGCATTCTTTTTTACATTTACTGATCATTGGTTAAAGGTTATTAAGTAGTATGTACATGGTAGAAGAAGCCACATTCATCTGATAACTAAACTATAAAATAATTACAGGGATGCCAACACTATTATGTTGCATAGTTTCTGTACTTTCAAATTTTGGAGTAACTAAAATGTGAGATTTTACTCACTATTAGAACTCCAGTTATGCCCAACAATGAATTTTAGCAGAGTTAGAATACTTGCTTTAATCTAGTTTGCCAATCTAAGGAAGTGCCACTTGTATCCAGGTTTGATACTGCATCAAGTTTGTTAGAACATTTGTTTTTAAGTACTACATAAATGCTGCTAACTGACAAATACACTGACCCAACACTATATTTTTCACGGACTGCCATATGTTGTTGCTTCCAGGCAGTGATAGGTGAGGATGGAAAAGCTGACTGGGAAGAGATAGTCGATAAGAAACTTGTTGGTAGGAGCAACCCGGAGGAAGTGAGGCTTCTAGCTGACATTGCTTACAAGTGCTTACACAAGACACCAAGAAGGCGCCCCTCGATTGCCGATCTTACTCTGGCTATTTCAAGTATAAGACAGCGGCGTTTAATTAACAGCGACACCTTGCCTTCTTCAGGAAGTGATGATGCATCTAGAATCATGAGGAGGATTGAGAGCCAACAGGTGGAGCTGAGTAACGTGACCAGTTTGAGAAGCCACATGTCCCTGAAAGTATGAAATATCAAGTTAGATCTCAGGGATATACACATTAGTCATTTGCTCCCTGTGAGGCTACTGCTTGGCTTTCCATTACTATGTTAATCGAAGTCGAATCTTGATGGTGGTATTTGACAGGGATGCATGTGGATTGACAGAATCCTAGATTAAGAGTTTCAACTTGTACATAATGGCCTCTTGCATTTATCAGTTCATACATATTCTTTCTTGCTGGTGTTCTGTTAAACAATCCTATTGATAATACTCATATATATATCAGCAGAGAGTTCATATAATCCTGGATACTCTTGTCAGGTTAGTTTCAAATGTCTTGTAGAAAATCTTCTGGTGCTGCATATGGATTGACTACCAAGAAACCAGGAGGAAGTATACACCCCAAACAACATGGATATAGAAACTATGGAGAAGGAAAAAAACCTCCAACCCAATACAACACTTTCAAATTTGTAGGTCTAGAGCAAGTAACTTCATCCTTTGAAACTCTCTCTGAAACCTGCATTTGTAGTCATGATTTTAAATCTTTTACACATCATTTGAATAAATACCTTCAATGCTTCAAGATACAAGTCTTCTTGTTTGACAAACCTGTGACCCGAATCAAGCCAAACACAATGCATCAATTGTGATACCATAAACCTGCAAATCTCAGTTGCAGCTTCCATGCCAAAAAGCTAAAAGTCCTTTTCTGAGCATATCATGCATGCCAAGTATGCAAAAGCTATGTTCTGTGATTTCATCTGTAAACCTTGCAGGTTACTAAAGGCAGCTTTGTACAAGGTAAGAATGAGGTGCATTTTGCTAAAAAGAATGCAGCAGAAGGCAATATGTGTTTGTGGATTAATAGTTCCTACTTGGGTCTAAAGTTATGACTATTGCCATGGCAACAAACATGTGCAGATATGACAGCTTAGAAGAGGTGAACAGACTGCAAGAGTTGATGTCTGACAACTTTTCTTTCATCAAGAACATATGATAAGAGATCTAAGTGGCCCTCTGGGTTTTGTATAAAAATATTCATATAAAGATGCATAGCATTACAAGTACTCCATTAGGACATGGAAAGGCTTGGTGAATTTTGTAGGCCACACCAAGTCTTCATTTACCAGTTGTGGGTGGGGGGATGTGGGAAGACTTCATGCCAAGATATATGTCATCTTGTAAAGTTCAATTTTGGCAATCATGGGTGCTTAGATGAGGTTGTTCTTGACAGGTTCCTTGCCATGGAAAAGCAAGGATGTAAACAATTTATTGGATGCCTTCTTCATGTCAGTCATGTTTGCAAGAACAATCACCAACCAATAGGTTATATATAGTCCTGTCATGATTTAGGTCTTGGGTTTTCTGACTAAGTTTTATGATAACTAAAAAGTTTGGATGCATCAAAGTTGTGAACCTTCATTGCTTTCTAATGACATTACTACTCAAAATAAGGGTTCCATGTTTTTGCAAGTTGTATGATATATTGCACCTTATCAACCACCTATAAGACATCACACATCCTTGTAGTCATTGGAGGTTTTCTTGTTTCACTTTCTCCACTTGAATAATCTTACATCTCTTACCCAGAAACTCTAGCAACATCAAACATACAAAGTATGGTAATCATTTATGTTCACCTTGTATGCTACAAATATACTGAAATATGTTTTAGAAATCATAGTTAAATGTTTATCAAGGAGAAAGTGACCCTTCTAACTCGACAATCTGAAATAGTTTAGATCGACGAAATTAAAACATCCTCTAATTGAAACCATATCAAGCCATAAGGAAAAGAAAGCTTCCGAATTTCCACAAACAAGGCAAAACAGCCTCTAATTGAGAGTATATCTAACAATAAAAAAAGATCAAAAATTAATTTTCCCAAGATGAGCAAAAGAGAAAAGAAAAAAAAACTCTCAGTAATTAACAAGTGCAAATGTTTTGGCATTCAATTAAGAGTACAAGATATGGAAACACAAAGTATGCAGCTAATGACTTGACAGAAATTTGACAGTTGATACCAGGAATCAGCTGCAATTTTGAGATTAAAAGGAAAAAAAGAAAAAACTCTACACCCTTCCCCCAACATAACAGATCATTCATGTGATGAACAGATGAAGAATCGCTAGAAGAAATCGAATTCAAGATAATTATCAGGACCCTTTTGATTGATGACAGGTGTAGCCTTTTCGCTTGTTGATGCCACAGGCCGTATAGGCCTTTCAATCTCAACATGCCTTGGAATTTCTGGGGGACTCGCACACCGTATCAATGCCCAATTGACACCCTCAAAGAATGGGTGCTGCTTTATCTCTGTAGCCCCGCGCTTGTATGCAAGCCTGTGATGTGGCTCCTTCACAAGCAGTCCCCTTATAAGGTCCCTTGCAGCAAAGCTCACAACTGGTGAATCTGGGAAGCGCAATGGCTGCCCTACGACATTGAACAATGTGGCCCGGTTACCCGAACCCTTGAATGGAGTTTTCCCAAACAGAAGCTCATACAAAAATATACCAAAGGTCCACCAGTCTACGGCACTCCCATGGCCCTCACCCTTGATGATCTCTGGGGCCAAGTATTCATGTGTGCCAACAAAAGACATCGAATGAGCATCCGTGGGCTCTGCTATGAGCTCAGGCAACGGGCTAACCTGGTTCCCAATCTCGTGTTTTGGTCTTCGGTCCTTCTTGGACTTGGAGGAGAAGAAACGAGGGCCAAAACATGTCGTGGGAGCGACGCAAGCAGGCTGGATGCAGGAGGGTGGCTCAACACAAGCAGGTTGGACACAGTAGACTGTGTTGTTCCGCCGCAATGTTTCTGATTCTGGGTTAGAAGACTTGATCAGCGTGGGGCTAACTGCACATCGAAGGGAAAGGTCAAAATCAGAAAGCATGATGTGGCCATCCTCACGCACAAGGACGTTTTCTGGCTTAAGGTCACGGTATATAATGCCAAGCATGTGCAGGTATTCCAGTGCTAAGAGGACCTCTGCTACATAGAATCTGCAATTTTAGGATCGAGTAGAAACATGTGAGTCAACATCAGATAAGTGTCAAGCTCTTCAAAGTACCAGTATTTCAGCACAATAGAAAAAATGTTACAATTTAACCACTTTCCCCAGTGCTATATTAATTTTAAGAATTTTATAATAAAAAATCTTTAAGTGCATAATACTGTTCTGAGCCAAGCCAATTCAGAGAGATAAATGAAGCTTACCAGCTGTACAGTCATTTCTGTAATATAGAAGTGGCAACAACAAATTATGTCAGAAGACTGCCGCATATACATTTTCCAGCTATGGATTGTTGAGGCATCAGTGGATTGAGGCAGTTGACCAAGCTAAAGAATTGTTTTTTCTACACAGTGTTCTGATTACCATTTCCTTGATCTTTATGTCCTTATCCCATATGATTATGATTACAGTCATAACTACAATGGGTATCTAAGCCAGTCATGAAGGTGACCTGATAAACCAAAGAGCTTTTATATAATAATTTGCCTTTTATATAATCCTTTTATGAAGAACTTTTATACAATAAGTGAACAGCTGATCATGAAATCCTGAAGTTGAACTAAATGATTTGCCTTTTATGTTATCCACCTCAATTCAATAAAAGTGCTAGAGAAAAATATGTGAACTTAACTAAATATTAGGAGTTGACTAGCAGTAATATTAAACTTGACTAAACGCAACAGCAGAAATTAAAATAAGTAAATAGATGAATACTCAGTTTTCTAAATTAAATCTCTTACAAGTAATGTGAGAAGTTTTAACATTTGATGTGGATAGGCATAAATCAAAATATCTACATATCCTTAAATATATAATTCAGTGGAATTTAAATGGGAAGCTAAGGATCAGATTCAACCTCTGATTTGCATATTTCAGGGTTCTGCAACCGTAATATGAATATTAAAATATATTTTAGATACAATCAAGATTTATATGTACATATGAGTTACAGAATTAATAGGATAAACATGCATATAGAACCACTAGATAACCCAAAAAACTATTTAACATGTACTTTATCATGGAAGAAACAAAACAATTTCTCAGCACACTAAAGTAATGTGGCATGAGGTACTGACAGGGCCCATTTATAACAAAAAGCTGCCAATGAAAGTACAAGATGAACACATCGCAGATCAATTCATGAATTGAAACTACATAGTGGAGGTCACCTAAATTTGTATATAATTGATAGAACTAAAAACCTATCAATAAAACTATTCGAAGTCCACCATGGGCTAACATTGCACCTCTTTCCCTGGGTAAAAAAATAGAACTTTCCACAGAAGAATGCATTTGCATGATGAAAATTGTATAAATATGTTAATAGTGAAAATATATTGGATGTTTCACTCTATGATTATTGGATCTTTCACAAACTTAGGAGTTGAAATTTTCTCACTGAAGTTCCAATAAACACTTATCATATATTTTTGCTTCCAGGAATCCATCCATGGAAAGAAGTGGAAGTGGCTGTTTCCAGTATTCATGGCCAAGTTCCCAAATAAATGGGAAATAGTATTATTCATCAATCTTATCACAGTTTAGATTTTGATGTTCCAATTTATTAGTCGTCATTCTGAGGTTTCTCAATCTTTGTTGCATCCAGATTTGTCCTGGAAAAGCAGATCTGAGATTCATTGCTTAAACTGATTTTAGTATGACTACAAGTGAAAGTTTCTTCTTGCTCACCACCATGTAGCTCATAATTATCTTATTTTTCAGTAACCTAGGAATTTGCAGTTTTCACATGCAATCTTCTGCTTTTAAATTCTCATTCTTTCTGTGTCCATGTACTACATCTAAAGCATATATATATATATATATATATATATATATATAAAGATTGTCATCATTGTAATGATAATAGATTACTAAGAAACATCTCCACTTCTAACAATATTGTCCACATGCCAACTGAGTTTGGCCTAGCAGTTGGATCTCCCTTCATCTCAAAGAATTTCTAGATTCAAATCCATGTGGAAGCAGTGGATTTAATAACAAAAATTCTTGCTCCTAATCACAAGATATGGCATATGGCTCAAAATCATAATCCCTAGTACTAAAGTCAAAACCATGACTAAGTGCCTGAAAAGTAAGAACAATTAGATAATTTTGAAGAATTTGGACAGTTACAAACGGCCATCCCATTTTTTGGAATTCATTCTCTCCTTCCTATTTTTTCCTAGGTTTCACTCATCAGCCTATTTCTCTCTGTTCAAACCATCAAAAGGTTAATTCCAAGTAACCAAATGCCGACTTCCTCCCTAGCAGCAAAATTGTTTCATGTTAGACACAAACGCAAATGAGTCACATAAATCTAAACTAGAAATCATGAATAATGAAGAAGTAACTGTAATATGCACATGGAAAAATGGACAAAAGTAAAACATATACATATGTACAGACAAAGAAATAATTTTAAAGGAACTTACTTCACTGCTTGTTCAGAAAAACGTTTCCCTGGCTGCCTCTGCCGAAGGGTGTGCAAATCTCCCCCTGAGCAGAACTCCATTACCAAACATGAGAATTTATCTGTTTCAAAGTGGCTATATAGGGTTGGAAGAAAAGGATGATCCAGACATTGTAATATCTCTCTCTCTGTCTGAGCTCTTAGAAGCTTCTTACGACTAGCCAATGATCCCTTGTCCATGACCTTCATAGCGAAATAACTTCTTGTGCCACTTAATTCTGACAGATAAACACTACCAATGTCACCACATCCCAACCTCTTTAGTAGTCTAAAATGGCTTAAACCCAGAATTCCATCTCGAGCACGAACCATTTGAATTGCTTCCCATCTTGAATCATTTGCTTTATGGGGCTTGTTAATGCTACTACTCAAGCTACTACACAAGCTCTCATCACTGATATCACTGCTTGTACTGGGCCTGCACATACTACTTATTCTATTTTCGACAACATCAACTTTGTCAATAACCTTAGCACTTCCACTAGACTTTGTTATACTGCTGTTCCCTTCACTAACTTTGGCAGAAATAATGCCATTGCTTACATCGTGTTCAATATTATTTTCTTGATCCACACTGCCTTTCAAGATCATGGCCCCATTCGGCCCCTTGGTGTCAACATATTGTGTTGGTTCTCTCTGGCTATCGGAACATGGGTGTGTGTTATTATTTTCAAAAGGTAGGATGGCCTTGGAAGGAAGCTTATCTGCTTCAGAATTGATAGGTCCCTCGATAGGAAGTGTATCTGTTTCGACATTGATAGATCCCTCAAAACATTGATTAGGTTTCATACCCTCAGAAAATTTGGTCACAGGATGCTTTGACATGCTCTCATCAGCATCTGCCAATTCTTTTGATGGAGTAGGCTCTGATTTGATTAGCTTTGTAACATGTTTAGGATTACAAGTGGTTGGCTCTACTCTGTGGCTGACAAGCGGTTTGACTTGTTTCTCAGAGTTGACATGCGAGATGGTTTTTGAAGCCATTTATCAGTAAACTTGTGTATCTAAGAGGTCAAATCGCCCAACAATTTACTCCATTATCTAGAACGAATAATTACAGCACTTTGCTAAAGAACCAACATATTATTTGCAATCGCCTATGGATTTTCTCAGGCCAGAATCTGCCATCAAAGTAAAGAAAATTACCAACAACTTCCAAGAAAGAAGTATCTTGCACATTGTTCGACAGTAATGCAGATCTCCAAAAAGGGAATATGGTGTTTAAACAATCATGATCTATATTACAAATGGAATGACGAGGAGACATGCATGAATTAGGTGGCCATGACAATCAAGAAGAGACTTGACATTTTATTTCCAGAAAAAAGGTGGAAATTACATGTAGCCTAAATATTGAGAGAAACATCAATCCAAACACACACAAAAAAAAGAAGAAAAAACCAAGATAAATAATAATAATAATAATAATTCATGTACCAAAGACTGACCCACCTTATAGCATCTTAGTGGATCAATTAATACATCCTAGTGAAAGCCCGTGAGTCAAAAACCAAGAGAAAATTCAGAAAGATCCATCTACTTATCATCTCCACTGGAAGTAACAGAAAAAAGCTTCACATAATAGAACTTAGTGACTTTCCAAAGCATCTTGACAACATTCGTCCACAAGTCACCAACCTATACAGAATTGGAGAAAAGACTGAATAAAAAGATCACAAAGATACACATCAAGATATAACTTTTCCATAAAGCACATCAAGAAACAACTTTTCCGCAACAACAAGGATGGTGGACCATAACCCACCTTAAAACAAGGAACTTTTTTTCCCTGAGAAGAAAAGAAGTACTTGATGGAGCCCGGATTGCGGAATTAACACTTTTCGAATATGATTCTTTCCCGTATGAAGCTAAAATTTCATTATACAAAAGATCAGTAAAATGGCGGACTCATTAATCAAGAACCATGGTCATGCCAGTCCAAAAAAAAATCAATCTTTACGCATCAAAAACATCAGAACTCCTAAATGGCACCAAAGAAAGATTTTTCAGTGACATCAAATTGAAATTTCCCATTTTTGAAGCATAACGAAAGATCTAAAATCTAAATCCGAACGCCAAAATAGATCCGACACTCCAAAATCAAAGAAAACTAGAGTGAGAAAGAAAGGAGCAGCAAACAGAAGAAACAATGAGGGGGAAAGAGGCCAAACTTATACCTTGATCTCAAGTATCACAACTGTAGAGCTTTCAGTGTGCAGATGTTGGATGGTTCTGCCTGGTGTCCGCAAACGGGGGGAGGCAGCAGGCACCGGGGCATTTTGCTGAAGGAAATGGGAGATATGGGAAAGCCAAGTACTATTTTGTGGAGTGTTTGGGGCTGTTTCTATGTGCTGGATTTGGCTATTGGTTTGCGGGTGTGCATTAGTGCATTGAGAGGAGAGAGTGGTCAAAGCCACACAGCTACAAGCCTTTGATCATTCTTCTCTCTCTCGCTCAGACACACACGTCTCAATGCCGTTTCAAATTTGCCACCCAATCAACCAGTCGATAGGTGGTGCACTTCCCAATATAATGGAGAGCTCTCTCTCTCGTCATGAGGTTCTCTCTCTAAGTGGCAGGAGCACCCTCATTGACAGCCTTGGCTCCCAAGTCCATATTTATCCTCCCTGAAATGACTGAAACATCCTTCACTCTCTCCAATCCCACTGTGTCCCTAGGCCTCAACCCTGCCCATCTCAGGCTACAGTTCACAGATTTTGCTAATGCTAATCCAGTGCTAACTCAGATTAGTGCTTCACCCTAAACATGCTGATATCATGTTGGACTGGAAATGGCTTCAAGAGCTTGGCATGTCTTTCATTTGGCAGCTCGGGGGAAAGGCTCACCTGCTGTGCTGTGGTTTGGCTGGGGGGATCTCAACATCTGTAGGAGTTTCCTTCTTTGGGGGCATGTGGACTTTCCTGTTGTTGGCTAGCAGCAAGATTCGCGGTGGGTCCCCCAGCTGACAAAATAGTGTTCAATGATGGTGCCCATTCATCAATGTAACAGTGAATTTGCAGAAGTAGATGGAGGTAGGAAAACAAAGAAGATAGGGGAGAGAGCATGATGTGGCTACAATATGCTTCCAGATATCTACAGCCAGTGCTAAGTTTACTCTCCAGCAGTGATGATTGCATCTGCTACAGTAAGGTCAGAGTTCAGTTACTCTCTTCTGGGTTTTCTCCTCCTCCTTTTGACTACAATCAAGAGAGAGAGAGAGAGAGGGTAATTCCATGACATGATTAAGTATAACCCAACCAATTTTGCCATGCATTGTTCAAGATAAACAGAACTAAAGCCTTGTGAAGGCTATGCATGGGGACATGAGCTATAAAATAGCACATGGATCTCTTCTTGTTGGGCATCTCTTAGACCTCTGCAGCATTGTAAAAGCTCCAAAGTTTGTGCCATAAAAGATGAGTTCCTTCTCTATTTTTTCTACCTGCAGGAGGCATGTGCACTGCACATGCTGCAGATGTGGAGCACTCTGGAAATGGCTCTTCCAAGTTAAACATCAGATTGTGAGCTCTACAAAGGTCCAGAGAACAGATTGCACAGATCTTGCAAGATGTAGTGGACCCATTACTGTAGTCTTGAGGAATTCAATTGGGTCATTGCCATTGGTGCCTTGATACAGCAACAGCAGCAGCAATGGCTGTCTGATAAGATGAGTATACTTGCTTGCATATACGAAATGCTCATCATAATTAACTGTGAAGTTAGGACAGGGATGCACACCAACCAAGGATGTGGTGGAAGAAGGTTTGATTAATGGATAGCAGGTAAGCCTACAGTAATTGTTTTAGTGGAAGATGCTCAGATGAAGTTGCCAGCCTTTGACAGAGGAGTTCCAGGAAATTAAATTGGTAGATTCTCACAGACACACATGACCAATAAATATTTTACAGAGAGGAGAGAGAGACCATCATGCAAGATAAACATGTGAGTTAGACAACAAATACATGGAGTAACAAGCAGCATACTGCCAATATCCCTCACTAATAATCCTTGAGACAAGATCAGAGGATCCAATGAAGCAGTCTCTTTGGCAAATTTGAAGTGCATTTTCTAGGGGAAATTTATCATGTACCACTTTTCTCAATTGATAAAAGGGGATGAGAAAACTGACATATCCAAAATGCTTATGATATAACCTCAGAACCATCCTCTCACTTCAGGTATGGAACTCAACTGAGGTATTACATAAGAGAAATCAAGAGAAGAGCAAACTAAAATAGCATGAAAAGTGTAATTTTCTTCTCAGTCTGCATCTGTTTCTTCTATCTTTTTCTTTCTTTGGCGATTGAACATTCTACAAATGTTCTCAGAATGGGTACATGAATGACATGATTTGGCCAATCATCTAGACATTGTAGCAAAAGATGTACATGGCTTCAAAGATAGCAGATACTTCCTGAGCTTAGATTACAGTTCAAACTTAAAATGTCAGAAATACATGAGTTGCCTGACTTCATGTCTTCCCAGGCAGACTGTAAAGTTTTAATAAAGCATGTCCCAAAGAACAACTTTGAAACAAGCAAGTCAATCAACAAGGTTCATCACCTAAAGCTACCAAGGAGAAGCCCTCAGACATCAACTGTTTGGTTACCAAGATGTGTCCAGTGACCAATGTCCTTCCCTTCCCCTTCTTCATAGGTCAAGAAACTACTGCTGGCATTAGAATTTGATGAAGGGAAAGGTGTCAAGTTGTGACCAGCTGAAACCATGGAACAACTCCACAAACACATAATTTGACCTACAAGAAGCATGGGATTCCTTAACAATGTAGCAAATTTTCTCAGATTTTGAAGAAAAATATAGCCAGATTATGCTACTTGCAGATTCTTAGAAACCTATATCCCAAATTTCGAACAGAAATAGAGAGTTGTGTTTCCACGACACATTTGCAACTTTCTGCATTACAACATCACCTTTATCTTCTCTGATCACCTCTGAGAGTTGCATTGTCAGAGGGACAAGTTCTTGGAGAAGACTACTGCAGTGTGAGCAGGTTATGCAGTTAAATTATAAAGAAATGTCTTGCTGATAAATTCTTTTGACAAAAAAAAGAAGCTTTGCCTCATGGAAGAAGCATTGTTCAGCACACCACATTTTTGGAGCTTCGTTGTGAGACAGTAAAGACAAGATTAACAACCTCAACTCATAGCTTATATAAGTTATTTACAAGGAAAAGGTATCAGATTTCCTCCAAACCTCTTCTTACATATATATTTTTCTTGCACAGGTGAATAGATACAAGGAGGCTGACATTATGCTGTACAAATCTTACATGAAAAAACACCTTAAAAAGGAGGTATGTGTTTAAACATCTGACGTAAAAGCCAAACCCCAGAACAAAGGCATAGGGAAGTCATCACATACAAACTGATCCTCGATTGGGTTGGCGAAGGGGAGGAGTGATGATAAAGATATTTTAGTGGACATAAAAACCAGCTCCTGAACACCTGAATGGGCTGATCAAGTGCACCTGTTCTTCAAAATTATAGGAAAATATGGAGAAGATTGGCTAGGTTATTGTGCCAACCTTACAACAGAAAATTCGTCAATTGGAATTAGTAATTCCAACTTAAGAATATTCATTTACCAATCACATTGCCTTTATTCCTTTGCTTATCATTCTTCATATAGTAAGCGAAATATTGCTGTGCTCAACAGCTTATATGGGAGAGTGGATCGTAATCATATGCATCACCAGCCTTAACAAAGCGCCCCTTCACCCGCCTTCTAATATCTGCCCTGGCCTTGCGCAAAGCATACCTGACCCTTTTCTCAAATCTGTTCAACATGCAAGACATGAGATACTGAGAATATAGTGACAACTGAAATATGTTCATTGAGTAATTACAAGTTTACAACTGGCTACATATCTAATCCTTGTGCTAACAAATTTGATTGGATTGAACCATAGGCTTTAGAAAATTATAGCACAGTTAGCTAACAAACTAGTAATACATGGTTAACTGAAGATATTATCATTTTCAGGGTCTGTGGTAGATTCTTTTTTAAATGTTTCACATATATCTCAGGGTCAACCACTACATAAAAGGTTTGTAAAATCAGGCATGACATGCAGAAACTTCAAAATTTGGCACCTGATTTGGTTTATACAATACCAACATATTCAAAATTCAGATATGTTATACCAAAAGCACTATAGTTTTCAGTTACTTTACATGCTCATTCTCCCCCGTATCCTCAAGTCTTCTAAACTGACCTAAGGTTGTCAGAAATATTATAAAATATCATATATGAAAATTTTCAACTTTTCTTATCATTATACTCACACTTTTACATGTCTAAGAACAACACAAACTCGCGATAATTTATTTGGTATGCTTCCACTCTATATAAATGCATATCTTGAAAAGTGCTGATGTCTGTTTTAGTTGTTCAAAGAAGTCTCTCTTCAAGGTTCAGTGACCAGGAAATCCAAAGCCATAGAGATGGCTGTGCCCGTTATGGCACTTTGTACTCAATCATCATACATTACAGACATGTAGCAGATAGAACTGCCCATTTTTCCAAGCTCTAAAAATAGCATACTCCAGAAATCATAAGTACATGCAATGTAATAGGAAGTGTTTAATTATCAGAGATATCTGGACTTACTTGCGTGATTTTTTCTTTTCCTTGTAACGCATAAGAGCACATTCCCTGCTAGACGTAGGCAATGAGAAGCTTCCTGAACCAGCGAAGTACCAAGGAGGCTTACCCATTAGAAGCATATCTGACTTTCTACAATTTTGATAGTCTCCAGCATTGCTTTCCCCAGTTACACCAGAGAATGAAAAAGAGAGAGATGACTGAACCTTGCATTCTGGGAAAGCAGGGCTACAATCTGGATCTTCTTCTGGATTTGACATCACAGAATCAGCAGATACTGCATCACTGCATGGTATTTGCATTTGTTTAACCTGCCCAGCTGATGATGCCTGAGATTGGTGATCAGGATTTCATCAATGCTTCTTGGTTCAAATGAATCAAATAAAAATAAAACTTGCAAAAAATGAGTGCTATTTTTTATTAGTTTCATACTGCAATAACAGACAAAAGCATGTGGGACACATGATAAGCTACTTAAGCAGTACATTTGCATTTAAAAGTCTCACAGGATAATAAAAAAAAAATCTAATAACAACTCACGATTAATAACACAAAAGATTAACAAGATATCTGAGATAGTTACATATATCAGTTGGTATTAAGTAAACTAGAATACACAAATCAGCAGAGGAAGCTTCAATTTGGCTCTCACTGTTCTTGGATGCTGTTAATGTATTGAGAGTCTAGCAATGAATGCTACAAAGCAAAAAAAAATGTAATCTCAGTACCAAAACATGACTGATTAACTCGGAACCTGTACTAGAATGGGTCCATGCATAACAAAATGCTGTTCAGATCAGCCGAATCAGAAAGAAATAGTGCAGTCCTCTTGACTAAGGAGAAACTTTCCACTATCATATAATGCACATGTCTTCCTGGAAATTGGCATCACTGTAAAGTTATGGATGTGTTAGATTGGGTATAGTTTCTATGAGATGTGCCAGTTCTTAAGAAAAAACTTCATAACAACAACTGCAGGATCAGGATTGGTCTATGGCATAAGATCAAAACCAGCAGGATCAGATACATTAAATCTGTATAGCACAGTTTTTCATTTTTTATATATTATGCTATGGAATACCTAATTTGTGAATGATGACTCATGAGAGTCACTTAGATGTGCCCTTGGTGAACGGTGAACAGCTCACCTCCTATGAATGCGACAGTGGTACCGGCAGTGACATCCAAGTTTGTACCCCCTACTTCCTCATCCTCCTATGTCTTTCTCTTTTGTCTCTTCTTCTTTCTCTACTTCTTATTATTCTCTTTCTTAGTCAACCGGTAACAATTGGTTAGCAAAGATGGTTTGGGATCAGCCAATTGCAGGTGATTCTGATCACGTTCCAGCCTGTTCCTTCTATCTCATAATCCAGCCAAAAATCAAACTTTCTTGGCCGAGCTCTGATTGAATTTTCTTGACTGGAAGCTAATCGGCTATAGATGATCCAGGTCAAGATCAGACAATGAGGCAAACCATGCTTCAAATATTAGGCAATAAAGAAGTCCGTCAATATGATCAAGAGGATAAATTAATAAATTGAGATGAAACAAGATGTACTTACTATTGTAAGAGTACCAGGTAGGAAGAATATGTTGATACAAAGTGAAACTCAAACATAACAGATATTTCTCTGAGGAAATATTTGTCTGATTTGTAATTATTCCATCAAGATATTCATCTCTTCCCTGCAATTGATTCCAGTTCCATCAGAAATAACAGTACCTATTTCATGAACTAAGCATTGAAAAGTTTGCAATTACTGAAGATTGTACATTTTGCAATAGCCTAAAACCAATACTTCTTTCCTGCTAGAAAAAAGCTCTATGAATATTCTTCTACTATGCATGAGAACAGTGCTAAATTTAAACACATATTAGACACTTAACATGCAATCAATGATCTCTGTTGAGACATCCAGTGCATTCAAGTGACAGGCTTCAGGTTCGAGTCCACGTGTTAGCATTATACTCATATAGTTAATGTAATGAAAATCTATTCTTAAAGAAAAAAACATGAAATTGATGAAAGTGCTGAGCGGATAAGTGACTACTGCATCTAATAACTAAGAATACATGGAAGTCATTTTTTATATCATTTGCAGATGTTATACACCAGGAAGAAGTACCAGGTTATACCTCTGCAGCAAGTTCACCATGGCAAAGGGAACAGGCAGGAGAGTTTTTCTTTCTGTCATAGAAACTATCAATTCCAGCATCATCAAACAGATCCTTTGTTTGCTTATTAGCTGCACCAAAGAGTTCTTCATAATTCTCAAATATCATGTCCACGTCACCAATAGTGAAACCTTCATCGAAGTCATCTTTACTAAATCCAGTATCATTTGTCTCAGGACAATATGACTGCACACAGTTAAGCGATTAAGAGAAATTAGAGCTACGTTATTAAAAGATCATTTAAGCTATGCTCAAGAATAATCCTAAGAGCGATCATTTTCTTGAAGTTTTCACTGTCAATTGGATAACTACACTGGTCTTTTTATGGTTCCAAAGCTGAATAACTTTCTTTGCAAAAAGGTGTTAATAGATACACTGCAAATAAGAAGATCAATGGTGTGTAATCAAATAATTTTTTTTGCAACAACCATCTGGATTGGACTTCAAATCATCATCCTTGAAATCAATACTAACCAGTACAAAGACTATTGGCACTGATCAGCAATGCATACATTTTAAAGAAATTCTTTTTGATGTAATGAATAATATATGGGGACCCCTAATTGAACAATATTCAGCAGATAATAACAGAAGTAATAAAGTGAAAGCTCTTGGGATATCATTAAGAAAAAAGTACATAGGGGATCTTACACTCCAATATAATTGCTTTGTGTTCAGTCAGAGAAAGGGTACACCACATCTATATGCTTGGCACTGAATTGTGAATATCAATTTGCAATAAAAGAATAATACTGGCTATCGAATTTGTGGAGGTGTCATTTAAGGGCAAAAATAGAATCATTGCATTTCACAATATGAGATATGATAAATTGGCATCTCAGCAGATTCGATGATTCGAAGCTGCCAATATGCATTTTAAAATCCTGATTCACCTTGGGTGTAGTTGAATTCACAGGATTAGGTGGTTGATCAGCACTATAACACATAGGAATTTCAGATGCTGAAGATGAGCCCTTCCAGAGGTTGCATTTATCAATGGTCATCTTATCATTCATTTTCCAGGTGTTGCCAATATTTGCATCACTACTATCAACTCGAGGTTCCCCACAATTGGTAACACTGTCCTCATTGGTAATCATGAATCCTTGCTCGTAATCAGAGTCTGTCATATGAAGGAACTCAAGGAAGGACCAAATTCTTGAAAACTCTGCTGCTGATGGACAACCTGAGTAGCAGTTGATCAGATGTCTGTTGTGTTCTGAAGCCACGGCTAATCCACCATGAACTTTTCGATCACAATTTCCACAAAGCGATTTATTTTCTTCTATGCACCTTACAACAGCAGGTTGGACAATGCACTGGTCGCATAGAAGCGTACGCAAGTGTCGCAAAGAAAGTGCATTTGCGGAATGAACATTTCGGTCACACGATAAGCACAAGGAAGCTGCGTCAGACTGGCAATAGACTACAGATCTTTGCTCTGTGCAGAAATCACAAAGATGGTCCATGCTTGGTTCACTGGAAAAGAAAAAAGACAGCTGACCATATCAACACATTGGGATTAGGTCTCCAGAGCAGTTCAGTAATTTACAACACAAATTTCAAGTTAAAAACACTTCATAAGCATCATGGTCACCAGCATCCATATGCAAGAGTACAAAAATAAATTTCTTTTTACTGTTAATCACCCAAAATAACCTGCCTATTAAGTTAAAGTATGTTGACTCATGATCAACCAAGAATATGTCAGTTCTTGTTTTCTTTTGAAGAAAATGGAATAATTACATTCAAGGATGGATAACACCCGCAGTGAATATCTGATGGCAACAACAGACACGAGAAGAGCCCTGAAATTTTCCAATTCTCTTATTTGGCCACTTATTAGCTCTAGATGTACAGAATCTAGTAGCATGATGGCTACTTCAGAACTTGGAGGTTATCAGTGGTATAAATTTTCCCTTATGAGAAACTTACAACCAAAGGCAAATTTGTGACAAAGAAATCAGAAACAGCCAAGCCAACTTGAACAAGCAAATTGCAAAAAAAGAAAAAAGAATTATTAGAACTACAAAGCACTAATGGAACTTATGTAACTTTTCAGACCTCAAATAGCAACCTTCAAATGATCTCTGCCCCTATGTTTCTTAAAAAAAAAAAGCTTAATCCACGTGACAAACAAATTGATACGAAGAACACACAGTTTTCTCTTTCCCAAATCCTCAGTCCGCAGCTGAATTCTTTGTCATAAACTCACCAAGGTTTCTCTTAGATCCGAGCGCTATATGGGCGAAAACAAGTTGCAATTTTAAGAATTTAAAAAAGAAGAGAAGGTCTAATAAGTATCCACAAACAACAAACTCTGAATAAGCGAGGAAAGAAAAGAGCATCTGCTAAACTACAACTACTAGATAAGCTCCTCATTTTAACGCAAGTTCTACTCGTGGCGTCGGAATCAACGTCAAAAACCAAGAAAAGACCAGAATATTTACTAATTCTAGAACAAATTAATGTCAAATCACCGAAACAAGAAAAGAAAAAGATTAAACTTTTAATCAAGCAGCTACAACATCTACTCTCGGCAAACGAAGAAAAGACCAGAAAAAGTGAATCTTTGGCACTTCAAGAACAAAAGACCAATACAAAACCTGAAAGGAACACGAAGATCCGAGAAAATCTCTCACCCCACACAACTACCCAACCGACGCACAAATTACTCGGTCTCTCCTGACGGAAAGATTGCTCCTTTGTCGATTGTAGAGGATATCCGATTCCGTTTTGGCAAGTACAATTGGCAGGATAGACGTGAGATGAGCACAAGAGATCACGCAAGACAAACGGACCACAGGAAACCGAGCGCCCATCGGGCCCCACCGGGCCCCGCCAAAAGAGCGACGCCTCGTGCGCTTTTTCTGTGGCGTTCCCGTAATAAACGCTCGCTGCTGGGGTCTAAAAGTAACCTTCCCCCGACGTACAAGGGACGCGACACCACAATGGCGATCTAATTACTAATATACCCCAACCTTGTTACGGCAGCAGCGTTGATAACGAACGAGGGGGACCCGCTCATCACTGGCCGTCCAAATTTGAGATCCTCAAGATCAACGATGAACGACTGCCGATCGCTTCCGATGGGAAAAAGTCCGAGTTTTGATGTGCAAGGGGCCAATGATGGCGGTTCGATGGGTATCAGACGGCGAGGATGACCGAAGGTTAGCGTGAGGGAGACGGAAGGGGCAATGTGGTAATTTCGCGTGATGCCGATGCTGCCACGTGACGGAGACCGCGGTGGGTCCCGAGCGGCATGGTTATCTGTAAAGTGCACGGAGAAGGCGTCCTAGCTGTCCACGTTTCGATCCCAGCCACGCCCATTTTGGTGGGGGCCAAAGGAGATCAGCATGGTCAAGACACGTAGGCGACCACAGTCACCCTCGTAAAATTCAGGGTTGACATCAGATGTCATAAAAATAAAAAATAATAATATCAACTGATTATATATATATATATATATCTCAACTATGACTAAGCAATTTTTAAGTACAATAAGAAATTTTTTATCTTGATCAAATAATAAAGAATTCTTACTCTGAACATTTAATTAATTATTATTGGTTATATTAATCTTTTGGATATTCTCTTTTTTTTTTCGAATTTTTGAGGGCCCCTTTCGAATTTTAACATCACATATAAAAAGTGGGCCTTTTGCTGATGACGCACAAAACTTAGCGGAACGACGTCAAGTCGCGTCCGGGAATCGATTCCACTCCACCGCTCGGCTCGTCGCTCGGGGAAATGGACTTCGACTTCAACACCACCGCCTCCTTCTCCTCCTCGGCTTCCGTCGCCACCGCCAACTTCACCCTGTCTCCCTTCACCCTAACGCCCCTCCCGCACCTAGCCGACCACCTCACCGACGTCCCGGCTCTCCCCACCCCCATCGACCGTAGCCCCTTCTACCACCCCTCCCCCGGCTTCTACATCGCCCCCTCCGACATCATCCTCCGCCACATCCTCTTCGACCTCTCCTCCTCCGACTCAACCCCCAGTTCCGGCCTCCTCGCCTACCACCGCGCCGGGCCCCGCCAGACCATCCGCTTCGACCCCGCCGCCGTCCGGGCCGCCATCGTCACCTGCGGCGGCCTCTGCCCGGGGCTCAACACCGTGATCAGGGAGCTCGTCGTGGGTCTGTGGGAGATCTATGGCGTGCGCCGGATCTTTGGCGTGCCCTCGGGGTACCGCGGGTTCTACTCCGCCGAGCCCGTGCCGCTGGACCCCAAGATGGTGGATGGCTGGCACAAGAGGGGCGGCACCGTTCTGACCACCTCCAGGGGCGGCTTCAATCTGGAGAAGATCGTGGACGGGATCGAGAAGTACGGGTTTAATCAGGTCAGGAGACATCCCCATTTGTTAGTTGATGGTGGTGATTAGCTGTATGCATTTGGTTCAATTTCTTTACTTTTGGCGATTTAATTCTTGGTAATATTAGCAGCTCTTTACTTGATAATTGATTAATGCCAAGATCCTTAATGCATGGTGTTCCTTTTTCAGCTTAAAATCCAAGCATTGCCAGGTCAGTGAATAACAAGGGGGTTTATAGCATTAAGGATTACAATGAGTCCATGGTAAGACAATTATTCTAGATTAATGAGTAATGGAAAATTAAAAGCATTAGAACATGCATGCATAGACCCATATACTTGTGCCCAGACTTTTTTTTACAAACGATAAGTGACGAAGGCAGAAATATATCGGATGAGATTTCAAACTCTCGACCTTTGATAAGTGGATCTGATATACCATTACCAAGCCAATATTTTAGGTATAAAAAATATATCGGATGAGGTTTCAAATCCTTAACCTTTAGTAAGTGGATTTAGTCTTAACATTTAAGGTGTAAATAAATATATTGGATGAGGTTTCAAACCCTCAACCTTTGGTAAATTTAAACAAAAAAATTAATATTTAATAAATATATTGATATGGTAATACTTGTGCCCTGACTTGGTACCATCTTAGCCACCTCAGATACAAATGATCCGAAAATTTATCTATTTGAACAGTCTTTACAAATAATAATGTAAAAAATTACATTTAGCTTGTTCATAATAGCTAAAACATTTATGTTATTACTCCTAGATGAGGCATCAGACCCTGTGACATAGGTGACAAGGTCATAAGATTATTTTAGATCGCATGGTTGTAAGCTAGTTAAACCTTTTCAAGTCCACAACCAACAGGGAGGTCATTAATCATAACAGTGGGAGAAAATGTGACTTGCAGAAGATTGGAATCAAACATCAAACCTCCCACTAGGGTAAAGAGATGCTTCACTTAGATAAGGATGGCGGTGATAATTGACTCCAGCAAAAATGGTTAATGATTGAACAAAGGCACATGTATGTACTATGAACTTGTAAGCACCCATTTATTGCTTAATTATTCCACATCGAAGTATCAGATTTTGCATGTGGTGGTCCTGGCTTTGTTATCTATTGAAAATGCAAATAAGTGTTCCAATATGGCGTAAGCACTTCATGTTAAGTTCTTTTTAGTGAGGCACTTCTTCCATATTTTCGAATTTTGTAACAACCATCAATATATTGCAAGAGCTCTCGACTTAAATGGAACATGATATGAAAAGTTTGTTGGTTGACTAAAATTTGGGCCCATTTGTTGGGGGACTAAGAAAGCATCAATCTATTACCCAATAATGTATCCTGAAAATTTTTATTTTTTACTGTAGTGCATATTTAATCCAGACTTGATGGTGAAACTTGGACTAGTTCAGATTAAGTTTTGGTTTGGCTCAGTCTAGCCAACACTGAATAATGTTTGCTGAAAATTTTCATTTTTTACAGTAGTAGATATTTAATCCAGGCTCGATGGTGATACTTGAACTAGTTCAGATTAAGTTTTGGTTTGGCTCAGTCTAGCCAACACTTCTTTTCATCACATATTTGTAGAAGATATTGTTAGGATGATGAAGAAATGAGTTTAAACAATAGGTTTATTATTTTATTTGGATTTTGTGATGCCTAAGTACTTGACCTATTGCTTATTACATGGATAGCTGAGTAGGGTGTCACTAAAAAGAGTACATCACATGGGCAAATTCAACTTTTCAGCAATCTAATGGATATCCGAATGATTCAGGTCTATTGCATTGGTGGTGATGGAACCATGAGAGGTGCTGTAAAAATATTCGAAGAGATTCAACGCCGCAAATTGTATGTATCCCTTACAGGGATACCTAAAACAGTTGACAATGACATTGGCATCATCGATAGGTCGTTTGGGTTCCAAACTGCTGTGGAGATGGCACAGCAGGCCATCAATGCAGCTCATGTGGAGGCTGAGAGTGCTGTGAATGGCATAGGACTTGTCAAACTTATGGGCAGAAGCACAGGCCACATAGCTCTTCATGCTACACTAAGCAGTCGTGACGTGGACTGCTGTCTGATTCCTGAGAACGACTTCTACTTGGAAGGGAAGGGGGGACTGTTTGAATTCCTTGATCAGAGGCTAAAGCAGAACGGACATGCTGTAGTCGTGGTAGCTGAAGGTGCTGGACAGGATATAATTCCACGAACAGATGCTCAGAAGGAAGAAAAGGATGAGTCGGGCAATCCAGTGTTCCTGGATGTGGGAGCATGGCTGAAATCCGAGCTGAAGAACTGGTGGGAACACGAGCATCCTGGAGAATTGTTCACAGTAAAGTATATCGATCCCACGTATATGATTAGAGCAGTTCCAGCGAATGCAACCGACAACTTGTATTGTACTCTGTTGGCACACTCTGCTATACATGGAGTGATGGCAGGGTACACGGGGTTTGTATCAGGTCCTATAAATGGTAACTACGGGTACATTCCAATCCAAGAGATTGCAGTTTCAAAGAACTTGGTGGATACAAAGGATCATAAATGGGCTTGGGTGAGATCAGTGACAACCCAACCAGATTTTCTTAAGATCTAAAGCTAAAGATGTAACACAGCTTGTATGCTCTTGGTGCTCTAAGGATGAGATGGTCTATTACTTTTTGTTTCTGAATGCTACTTTCTAGCTCTTACGTTTCAAGAAAATTATCAGATTTTAGTCAGATATTTATTTGGTCAATGCACTTGTGGGTTTGGAACAAAGATTATATGGTGCAAGTTGCATCTATTATTGGTGTTCAGCCCACCCTTTTTGATTGGATGCGCCAATTGTGGTAAGTTATCTGTTCATTCATTGGGGTAAACACATGGATGAACATAGTGCATGAGACTCCCACAGCAGGTTAATACAAAATCTAGTGCTCATGTAACACATTTTGAACTCTGATCTTTCATATCACAAAGGAACAACATTATATGTACATTACTCTTTTTGATAGTTCGGCAACTTAGAAGTCATTTGATTAAATAATAACATAATAAGAAAATTACAAGTTTACGGCATCAGAGAATGACAGAAAAGAATTCACAAAATAAATGAGGCTTGTTCTTAGTAATGGAAACTTGAAAAGAAGCATCTAAGAGACATGATCTTAGTTAACAAAATGATATGTTCTGCTCGATCTTATACAAGGAACAGCTTCTAAACGATATGTCCAAATAAGCGTAGGCTATTTGTACACAA